CATATAGAATTTTAATGATAAGTAAATGGCTTACTTTTTCTCTATTATAAAACTAAGAAAAAAAAAATTAATTATGTTTATGACACTATTGAAACTGAGAAAAAAATCGGTAATAATCTCCCTGCAATATTAAGTTAAAATTATGGGCTGTAATTGCTCAAAAAGAGTTCCAGCGTTAAACACCGTACATCCAATAAGGTCTACAACATCATTACCCATACAAGAGACAAGAATACAACCATATACGAATTCATTAGCTGACTACACAATCTTATTTACACAATCAGAATCAGCATCATGTTTCGCCGATTTGGAATACAAACACACAATAACAACGTGAACACAAACGAAAGACTAGTGTCACGTGGTTAATGTCTTAATATTGGAATGAAAAAAAATTCATCTAACCACCAATCTACTACACCATAAATAAAACATTGTTATTACTACTAAATCACTCAATATGTCAGATGATATTGGTTATTGTAATGAATTTATTTCTTATGTATGATTGTTCCTTAAAGCATTAGTAATGGATAAAAATGTTTATGCTCAAGTTATTTTTTACTATTTTCTAGCAGTTGAATTCTATTTCAAGAATTATATCTTCAATTTACAGTCTTATTGGTTAACCAAAGCAAAAGTTGCCCAGCAGAAAAATCCGGGTGCTCTTGTTGAAGCATTGCCCAACGTTACGACAAGAGCATCTAGATAAAAAAGTAAAAGAAACTGACTTATCTAGATGCACTGAGTGCTGCTCAATGCATATGCCAATGCATAAACAATGTTATCTTGTTGCATCAAAAAATAGTTCCCGCATCTAGATGCATCGGGCAATTCAGGATGTTTTTTCTGTACCAAGGAACCAGATATATCTCAATCTAGAGTACTTATGTAGAGATGTGCAGAGCGCCCTATCCCTACCCTGCAGGATACTGTAGAGGGATGTCTTCGAAGTCACAGGGCAGGGCTAGGGCTCGGGTATCACAGGATAGGGTGGGAGGAGAGCTCCAAGAACAGCTACTCGACGCATCTCTAATCCTATGGAAAATTAAGCAAGATCATGAATATGATCTTGAGTGATTGAATCTTGTACCCAAGGTTTTTTGCAAATTTTTGAATCATCGTTTTGTTTTAAGCTTTTGTGTAAATATACGTGCGAATATTTTTATACTTAGAATTTCGAATTTTTTTCCTTCTTGAACATAGTTGTTTAAGGAAGAGCCTATGATTCTATATGGTCGTAAATCTGATGGTTATGGCTGTCATAAATGAAAACAAAATGTGAAGAAAATTTTTCATTTAAGATCTTGCAACATCTTGAGTGGATTCACTCAAGATCTTGAAATTTCTGTTCCTAAGGTTTTGAGTACAAGAAGTTCCACTAGGGGATATGATAATATGATGTTTTTACAGCGTTTACTTACTTCCCCTCCAGAAAGTGGATCCTCTCTCTGAGCACATAATTAAGTCGCGTATGGTCACTAATTTAAGAATCTATAAGGAAAAAATCTGTAGTAAAGGGTTTGGGAGAGCGTTCCAAAAGTCTGTATTATTTGATGGATGAAAACAAAATTGAGTACTGCAGTATATAAAAGATATAGTTAAACAAAAAAACTGTAGAACAATTGAATTAGTTATATACAAAAATAAAGTAACTTTTAACATAAAAATCTAATATTCTCAGTACAAATAAAGTAAATCTAATATCGTCGTTAAAATATATAAAATAGTCTTTACACATATTTGACTAGATTCAAAATGTATGGTATACTTGCACAGTGCTAAAAAACAGTCTACTACTCTGTTTAGCATCCCGTATGCTTTCTGTACAAGAGTAAGATGTGAGTGCTAAATACGTTTGTCCAAATCGACCGTTTCCATGGCTAAATCAATATGATGTCATTTGAGTTAAATTAACTAACATGAATCTCATGGCAACTTCTAATAAACGAGTACTTTTGAGAAGTTGATGATAACGAGACTGCTATGTTCAGCCTTCTTTTTAGATAAAAATGAATTCTCATTTAGCGTCACACATATTCGTCTGTCTAAAATGATATAATAGAAAAGATATTGACTATTATTTTTGTTCCTAAAATGAAATGAGCGCATTTCAGCACAGTTAGATAGATTTCAAAAAGAAAGTAAGTTTTCGATTTTTCTAGAGAAGAAAAAAAATGAAACAGTATTTTCTAGGACAGTACATATTTTTTAATGATTGCAGAAGTTTTCTTACTGTCAATACGTAATCATCTCTCGGATATATAATGGCAGAAGCTATGACAATCTAATAAATATCGGATCATTATAAATATTAGGCCTCTTTTTTTGAACTTAATTTAAACTCGAAAAAAATTCACTTCCGAGGTTGAGTGAGAGTCAAAACGCACCCTTTGGGTTTCTGTGCGACTATCTGAATGATAACCATTGGTTGTTCTTATGTTTGATAAATATTGCTTATCGATGAACAGTGGCTGAGTTTGATGATTACTACTAAAAAAGAATAGGCAAGATCATTTATTTATCCAATAAAATGGTGTTGGATTTCTTTCAGAAGTCAAGATGGCACACATCTTACACATCGCCACATGTTAATTGGAAAGCATTAAATGACTATGTAAGCGAATATCAGTTCATATGTTTACCTGTGTTCGAATTCTATTCCATCATTCTCATTCTGTATTTGATCAACAGTTTTCCTACAGTTTAGAATAGAATTTTAATCATATCAAATTCTAAACTATAGACAACTTTCACAGGTAATTAAACACAATGTTTTTGCAAATGGAATATCCATGCATAGAAACGAAAATGCATATATACACGTTACTTACCGTTTAGATTTCCTTTTCACACTATAAAAATGGTACAATTCTTATATATTATCCGAGCATTATTGATAGTAATTATTTCACTTACGAATTAGTTGTATTTTTGTCTTTTTTTGATATTCTACTTCTTACTAAAATAATGATAATTAGGCCAATGATAACAACCGCAATAATCCCACACACAATTGCAATAATAACCCATTTGCTTGGTTGCCGTACACTCTTTGGTTTCAATTTTGATAGTGAATTACCTAAACGAATAAAAATATTCTATAACCAGTTTTGTAATTTATTTTATAGATATTTTCTTATTAATTGGACCAGATCGAACACTGTGCAATACAAAAATACACACATCTATTGAGTAGTGAACAACTTATTGTCTCAAGTTAGTTATACTGCAGTAAATTCATTCAGTGAAAACATTAATTCCCCCAAACACATACACATATACTTCCACAATTGAATATCCTCTCGATAACTATAATTCCAATCTTGATGAAACTTTCAGGCAATAGAGACCCATAATCTATATCGCGATCGAACTATACTCAAAAACTATGTATCCCGGTTGGGGTAAAGTGTTATTTTTTTATTAAAATTCATTAGCACAAAAATTCTGACGTTATCGCAAGACGTTGATATGAAAGAGCGTTGAAAACTGATTTATCTTCTGTTTTCCTGTCAGCCACCTTTTTTCGAGTTAAACTCTCAGACGCACGAGCGAAACTCGGCGCTACTGATTTCGAATATCGTAGTCGTTTTTGCTCAAACTGCTTTAGAGACTTGATTTTTTAGAAAAAAAGTGATTTCTTTAGTAAAAATATTTTCCAGTGAAATTTATTTCTGATCAGACCACTTTATAGAACATATCGAGTTACCTATGCAAAAATATTTTTATCACTATCCGACAAGATCTGGCCGAGCTACGAAATTTCTAAATTTTCGACAGCCATTTTCCTTACTTTCATTTAAAACGAAAATTTGAAAATTTCCTAGCTCAGTCAGATCATTTCCGATAGTGATGAAAATATTTTTGCATAGGTAACTCGATATGCTCTATAAAGTGGTCTGATTAGAAATAAATTTCATTGGAAAATATTTTTGCTAAAGAAATCGCTTTTTTTTTTACTGAAAAAACCGAGTCTCTGAGGCAGTTTGAGCAAAAATGACTATGGTATTCGAAATCAGTAGCATCGATTACATGTAGTCATGTATATTTCGAGGAAAAAACGGTGATACACTTTTTTATAAGGGAGTTTCCCTCGTTGGTAAAACCACATTTATATCTCGATCGGGATATAGAAAAATATCCCAGATTCATCCAACTATATATCAATTTCACCGAAAACATTGAAAGTTTTTTACAAGAAATATTCATTGGTGTTGTGCTATGTGGCATAATATAGCGACCTCAATGTATACTTCCATAAAACAAAAAAGCTAACCTAAAAAGTTTTGATTGACCGACTGAGCGACAGCTCACGGCCGACATTCAAACCCTAGCAGTGTACCCGATCAGGATATATAGTCTGGTCGGAATATACTACTACACTGTCAGGAATACAGACCATGTAAACGAAAATCTTTTTTGCTCATCTGTTTCCGTTTGCGAGATGTCACGTCAACAAGAGTCAGAGTAAGGCTATTCGTATTTTTCAAAAATCTTCGATTCAATAGGGATAATAGAGATCTCGAGTTGGCTTTCAAACGCAGCAAACACTTATGGCTAAGTTATAACCCTAGGTGTCTACTTCATTTTAAGACCAAACCGACATTTCTATCGACTATCTGAGCAGAGAGCGATACTGATTTTAAAAATATACACTCCGGACTCTTTGGTCATGAGCTTATCTCAAAATCGGTCTTGTTGACAAAAATTATCATTCTCAAGAGGAAAAGGACATTAAAGGCTCTAGTTGATTTATATATTTTATATAATCTTTTGTGTGTATCTCAAATATCTGATACTTATCAGCAGTTCTATGTATCTATGAAGCTTTCAACGTTCGATTCTGTTAAATTACGTTTTTACGATGCTATTGATTTCTTTTCTAAGTATACTACAACAAATTCTACTCAAAATAAGTGAGTGAGAAATAATTAGTATAAAAAATCTATGTATTATAAAAAGAAAAATGTATTTTTAACATAATATAGTCTTGCTCATGTTTGCATAGTGACAGCATCTCTATCTACAAATAGAAATGGTAATCACTGGCCATTTTCTTTTTTATTGCGATCTTTTATATTCATATACTACACACTTACCTATTACCGTTCTTGCTGTTAGTTTTCTAATTTTTTGCTCTGCGACTCCAGCTTCATTATATAACTTCAGAGAGATGATATAAAACGCATTTGGAACTAAATTTTGTATTTCAAATTCTGATAATAACGGATCAATCGGTATTGGTACACCAAAATTACCTACAATTTCTAAACCACTCTCTCCCTTTGCCTAAACGTGATACGAAGAAATTCTCAAACTTATTTACTAGCAGCTTCTTTGAAGAATTGTTAAAGTCGAAATATACCCGTGCATAAACTATTTCTCCTTTTGAAATTGGTGCTCCTCCATCTGATTCAACGGTCCATTTAATTAGACACTTTGTATCATCCAAACATGAAACATCGTTGGAAAGTATTTTAAATTGAGGCATTTGACGATCTAATGTTTTGACTTGGATTTGTCCTTGTAACTGCCCGATCCCTGCATCGGATTCAGCCAAAATACTCATTCGATATGTTACACTTGGAAGTAAATTTTCAATACGGAGAACTTGTGGTTGGTCATTAACTGCCTGAGCTATTAAAAAAGAAACAAACTTTAAGAATGAATCTCTTCAGATAACAATATCGTTATTACCTGGAAATGTTTGTGTTTTTAATGCATTCGAAGTTCCAATCGGTTCATATCTTACTAAATATCGGACTAACGGTAGACCACCTGTATCTGGTGGTTGAACAGAAATTTCAATAGCATTAGACAATGGTTTTGCTTCGGTAACACGAACCATTCGAGGTGGTTCTAAATGACGAAAATAAATATGTTAAATGTAGACAATATACCACTTAAACAGCATACCAGCTCGCTGTAGAAGAAATGTATAACGCCCAATTCTTGGATTAATAGCACGACATTCAAAACTCAAGCCAAAATCTCGTTCCGATGGATTGTACTAAAAATAGAAGAAAAGATTAAAGAGAGCAGAAAAATTTAATATTTTATATGTACGTATGTGTATGTATACAAACCGTTAAAACACTTTCGTATTTTGTGAGTCCAATTTGATTTTCTTGGATATCAATAACTTGAGGATCGACTCCTTGTGTTAATATTCGTCCATCAGAATCTTGAAGTGTACGAATTAATCGAACCCATTGTATTTTCGGTGGTGGATACGAATCGAATAAACATCGGATTTTGACTAATATCACACAAGTTATATAAATGACTAGATAATCAAATGAGAAATATTACCTCGATAGTTTGGTACAGAAAAAACGACAGGAATCTCTGATCCAATAAAAACTGGTTGATCTATATGAAAATACAACAAGATATATTCAGGTGCTCGTATAAATAGTGTACACGTACATTTAACGTAGAGTCTTGCAACTGCGTAGGCCACATCAGCCAGATTTTTAGCTACACACGAATAATTTCCAAAATGTTCACGCCTCACAGGATTGAATTTCAATTCAATAAAATTGTTAATTTGTAACTGAGACGTATCAATGTAAATACCATTTAGCGGCTACAACGCAACGCAGATACAATAGTGTACATTTTTGTAACATCAAACATACCACCACTGGAGTATGATCCATTAATTGCCATTCCAATGATAAACTTTCAGCCGTGCCACGTTCAATTCGACACTGAAATGTTGCTTGTTGTGGACGATTATCGAGATTAATTTCAACAGGCGGAATAGGCAATAGTCTTGGTGGAGCTAAACATAGAGCGTTATCTTAAAATACAACGTTATTGTTAAATATTTTCATACATACCCACAACGTTAAGCATGTATTCAACCTTTTGTCCTTGTCGATCGTATTCATTATATGCATGACATGTATACTTCCCATTGTCCGTTTCATCAACATAGTTTATTGTTAAAGAATTTCCATGAGCCATATATTTTGAAATTCCATTTGAAACAACAGGAGAATCCTATAAGAAAACATTCATTGTATTACTACAAAACTTTGAATATGAATCTTTCTATACATTTGGATGTTTATGCTGAAATTAAACTTTTTAGTCTGATATCAATGACATATTTATTAATCTAATAAAAGAACCTCTTCAAGTGTATCAGCGCTTTTTCCTCGGAACATATCGGGTGGCAACGCCCGTAGCTAGGATTTTTGCGAAGGGGGATCGACTTTTTGCCTTCAGAGATAGTGTGAAGTCTTATCAACCAGCAAATTTTTCTGACGGGATTCAGTGGAAAAAATCTTTTTTTCAATAGTCAAGAGGGGGATCGGTCCTCCCGGGGGGGGGGGGGGGGGGGGGGGGGGGGGGGGGGGGGGGGGGGGGGGCGGGGGGCGGGGGGGGGGGGGGGGGGGGGGGGGGGGGGGGGGGCGGGCGGGGGGGGGGGGGGGGGGGGGGGGGGGGGGGGGGGGGGGGGGGGGNCAGTGTAAAAATATTTTTTTTAAAATTGCACAGGGGGGTTGGGGCCCCCTCGCCCCCCCCCCCCCCGGTTACAGCCCTGCGGGCGGGCCAGATAAAATCGGATGCTTTCATTCGTTGTTTTTGAGACACTACCAAGTAGTCCTAAGAGTTTGTTCTAAGCTCAATCGATAGAGAATTCAATTCTCTACAAAATCTGCTACTTGAATCTCTAATAGCATTTTTCTCGTTTGAGCACCATTCAACATATTGGTGAAAGTTGGCTAAGTTGTTAAATTGCGACAAGCCTTATCGTCTCCTTTTTTGAGATTTTTAGCCCATTGTCTGAGGTTCAACAGTTAACTTATCTACGTAGATAGACAGAGAATTTTGTGCTCTATCGGTCTCACTTCTGTACAACTTCATACAATGTTTCTACTACACCAGCTGGACTTATAATTAGCTCTCAATCGGCTTTTCAACTTTTCAAATTAAACTAATTTTTTAATTAATGGTGAGAAACTTTGTTTATATATCCGAATTTAATTTTGCGTAGAATAATTAGACTAAACTCCTAGATTCAGAACGTTTTACTGCACTTTTAGTCAAAAAACTAAAGTCTGTGAAAAACACGTTCAAAAGTTAGGTTTTTTTGGATTTCTTAGTTTTTTTGCACAGAGAAACTTTCCTAGAAGATTAAACTGTAAAATTTCGAAAAATATGTGAGAAGATGCAAAATTTTCCGTTGAGTCTTCTGATTTTTTTAGAATTCTTATAGAATCCGTTTTTCGATCAAGGTAAATATTTTTCTATTTTCAGTGTGTCGCAGTTAGGCAACTCAGAACAAACTCTTAGCACTACTTGGCAATGTCTCAAAAACAACGAAAAAAACGGGTACAATATTCGAAATCAGCATCATCGATTACATATAGTTATGTGTGTTCCGAGGAAAAAGCGCTGATACACTTGGGGTGGTTCTCTCATTAGTCAGTACGGCTCGATAGTTATGTTGTTTGTTACGTATCGAATATTGACATCGTCAAGTGATGTAATAATCTTGAGCAGTTTATTTATCTGTCGCATGCCTGAGATTACTCGCTGATAGTATACTCACTACATTGTGTCGTACAATACAGTCTCCTCGTTTAATCTGCCACACTGTGTTTCTCTATTTTATTCATAAAATCGTCAAGTACTTTGTTGTCTATCTCATCAAAATTTCAGAATAAAGGAGAGAACATACATTTATCATCTACTATGACATAACTTTAGCAAACAAATAAAAAGATTCTAGCATTAGACTTTTTTGATTTAAACTTAGAATCCTTAGAGTTTACATACCACTCCGTAAAACCATTGATATTTGGGTGATGGTGATCCAGCTGCTTCACAGATTAAGGTTGCTGTTTGTTTCTCAACGGCACACGGTGATGAACAAGTTATTCGAGCAGCAGTTATTGGTTCTGAGATAATAATAATATCGAGATAAATTATTGATAATAGATAATAAAAAGAGTTCAACATACGTGAAATAATAATCGTAATAGGATAATCTCTTGATTCTCCCGTTTCTAATACATCAGCTTGACACCAAAATACATCATTATCAACTAAATCAACTTTATTAATTTTAAGACCATCATTTGTTCGTTCATAATTTGTATTTGCTTTTAAAATGTTAGAAAATTGCATGTTTAAACAGTTTTATATATCCAAACGATTTTTTTACCTATTCTTGTTTTATCTTGTCCTTTAAACCATGAAACCTCAGCTGGAGGATTAGCTAATACCCGACATTTAACTAACACTTGTTCACCTAAAGCAGCATACTGGATCCGATCACCACGAAATGTTATTGGAACTATAAACATTAGGCAATCATTATCACATAACAACGAAATAATCCAATATATTTTTTTTACTTTTGATATTCATTTGAAATGTTCTCGATTGTGATGTTCCATCAATATCAGCTCCTACACATTCCCATATTCCTTGATCTTCAACAGTCAAATTTCGAATTCTCAATCGTAAACCATATGTTTGTCGTTCAACTGTGACTCTACCATACAATGTGTGTGAACTACATATCACGATTGATTATTGCACAGTCTATCTACCTGGCTGCATTGTTTTCTTCAACATCTATTTGCTGCGGTGATCTCCATGATGCTGCGGGAAAAAAAAATGAAGAGATAGATATTTAACTTTGTAATTTAATAATATTCACTGATTTTTATTCTATTACCTACTCTTGTGTATGGTTGTCCGGTACATGAAGCAACAAATGATTTATATTGATCGCGTATTAAATACGGATCTTCTGGTTTTATGATTAAATCAGAATGTGTGATAGGAATGAATAATACTAGAACAAGATGACAAAACTTCACGTTTATATTTAGCTGTATGTCAATCTACATCTTATTTTCTTGTAAATAAGATTGATTTGCGTAAAAATAGTGATTTATCATACCACAAAAAAAATGTTTAGCCTATGGTTACATCTATCTATCTCTTCTAAATGAAAAATTCTAACTATATTTGCAAATTTAATTTTGTACAAGTATCAATTCAATAAAATTTCTCCCAAAATGAACTATTGAATTGTATGTTACTTACGTATTATCCAGAATGCATAGACAGTAGTATTGTATAAACAGTTTAATCTATTGTTGTTCATTTTTGAATAAGTAATACGTTTATCAAAGATAAAAATCAAATTAAATTAACTAATAGGTAATTTTCATCATTTACTTATTGATAGAAAATTTTATCTATCATTTGACCATATTGTTGATTTATTTATGCCCGAATAGAAGATCTAACGTTGAAAAATAAAGAAAAAATATTTATTTGCTTTCAGATATACACACACTAGACATTAACTGTTATCGGATATCTTGTCGTTTAAAGTCATGAACTGTCTATGAAGATTAATAAATAATGTTTTCTTTTTTCATCACGTCTGTAAAATACCCATGTACTAAATTGTTTATACATATTTAATCTTTAATTTTCGATTATAAGCTCTGATAATAATTGAAATCGAAAACCATTAATTTAACTAAAGATCCAGACTTTTCAAAGACCAAAATCGTAATTTAATGTATTTAACAATAATTATTTTTAAATGATTATATCATCTTTACATTTAAGATAGAGTCTGAGCTATCGGGAGATTATTTTGCCTAAAGCCTCTCGTCAAAAAGCCATTTTCATTAGTTTTAGTCTGACATTGGCGAAATGGTCAGGGGATGTTGACTATGTCTGGGAATAGTTTCGATGTAGTGTCAAGGGTTTACACGATTTACTGTCCGTTGATTAATTTCTATTTTAATTAGCTTTTTCAAAGAAAAGTATAATTTTCTTATATACGGATTCACTTTCCGTTGATTATATAGAAATATATCTCAATTAGCCACTTTTTTATATAAGGATTTAATTTCCACTAATTATTTGGATCAAAAGCAATGAATGAGCAAATGAATATTCATTGCGACAACGAACAAAATTCCTCGCAGAACAAACATTTATCAATAAGGGAATGATAGAACAAATTGATTAATTTCTAATACTTATTTGAGAAGTAGAGTAGTCGTGAACATGATAACCTTTATAAAAATATGTATAAAAGGTACAGATACACCACTCTCTTTTCACACTGTTTTAACAATGTCTGGTAAGTGAGAAGAAGTTTTAATAATGTTTGCTGAATTTGTTGAATCTACACATGGCAAAAGACAATTATGTTACCTCGGTTATCGATATTCTCTCAAACGTAAAAATCAAAATGGCTCAGAGTATTGAGTATATGTGAAGTGTAACGCTACGACAACAAGTTATTATTACGTATAAAATGTACCATCACTGTACCAGTGTTCTTGTTGTGATAGATAAACGATATCATTATAGGATTTTATCATTTTGATTTTTACGTTTGAGAGAATATCGATAACCGAGGTAACATAATTGTCTTTGCCATGTGTAGATTCAACAAATTCAGCAAAAGAACTTAATCAATTTGGTTCATCATTCCCTTATTGATAAATGTTTATTCTGCTTGGAAATTTATTCGTTGTCGCAATGAATATTCATTTGCTCATTCATTGCTTTTGATCCAAATAATTAGTGGAAATTAAATCCTTATATAAAAAAGTGGCTAATTGAGATATATTTCTATATAATCAACGGAAAGTAAATCCGTATATAAGAAAACTATACTTTTCTTTGAAAAAGCTAATTAAAATAGAAATTAATCAACGGACAGTAAATCGTGCACTCGAGCGTCAAGACTCCATCTATCAGCCTTCATGAAATGTCGCACCGACATGGGTAAAAATGAACAGTTAGAAATTCCCAAAAACTTCATCGAATTTATTGCAGGAGGAACGGTATTGATCTTATAACAAGGAATCAACCACTTTAGCATTCCAGTTTGAAATAGATTTTAACTGCAGTTCTTCGATAATGAACACTACTTCTCAGTTCACTGAACGAAAATTGTTTTTTAGCTTTCATTCCTGAACTACTGAGGACAGTCAAAAAATTTTGTCACTTCCAAAAAGGACACGGTCAGGTAAGATCTAAGAATTTCCTACATAGTTTCATACAATCGTTAGAAAGCTTAGACTTTGACGAACAAGAATCTGTCATCAGAATATCTTCAAGGCCTTTCCTTTCAGAAAAAATTGAGCTTTTACGATCAAGCCGCCCAAACAGGCAGAGGTTTAGTAAAACGGCTATAAATCGAAAAGTAAATGATATTTGCCCAAGCGGCTTTAATCACTGGATTCAGCAAATATTCGTTACAAAATGGCGTAATTAGTGTTCTTTGTTCAGATGTGTTGCATTAAAAACATTTCATTAAAGGAGTTCGGTTTTTATTGCGAACCTTTGCCCGTATGGGCATCTTTATGAGAAAAACTCAATTTTTTCTAGAAAGAAAAGACTTGGAGATATTCTGGTAACAGATTCCTTCTTTGTCTTAGCTACTTACAAATTTTCTAAAGTACTTGGTTAAGCACTTGTCAAGCATTTTTAGATCTAATATGTGCAAAAAACCTTGGAAGAACTTCGGTTACTTGCATATATTACTTGCATATCGGTTACTCGCAAGTACTTACCAGGTTACCTGCCAAATACTTGATGAAGTACTTAACTAGTACTTATGCTTGTTAAATCACTTGATAAATATCTTTTTTACTTGCAAAAAAGCCCCGGTACTCTGGACATTACTTACCCAAGTACTTTTCTAAGTACTCCGTCTCAAGAATATTAATGTTTGATTCTCACCCTGCACCGAAAGCTATTCGGGTCTAACTAACTAACAGTTAGCGTCTGGACTTTCTAGAGTGATTGGGAGATTCTTGATCTTAACCGATCGGGCCCTTCTTAGAAGTGACAAAACTTTTTGAATATCCTAAATAAGAACGATTCAATAGTTCGCGATCATAGTAATGAGGAATAACTCACCAGTTTTTTTCTACAGTTGTTTTTGAATCAGCAACTGTTCATGCTCTCCATCTTGAGCTGTTAATTTGCTTGCTTCCTCAAAATGTTCGATATAGGAATACATAACAAACTAACAGATGACTAAGATGGAAACCAAAGAACTAAGGAGCTAGAGCTGGTGATTCATTCCTTGTTCGTGTGAACGTAAACTACTGAATCATTCTTAGTTCAGAACGGAAACTGAAAAACAGTTTTCGTTCACTAAACTCGAACCCGTTCACAGAACGGAAACCGTGAACTGTCACAGCTTTAGTTTGACAAAGACGGATTTTCTTACTTTTGACTTGAAAAGTTTTTACAGAAATTCGGAAAGTCGTTCAAAATAATACCGTTCAAGTTCGGGTGATATCTGTTCTCATTAAAAATCCAGGTCGAAATTGAAAAGTTATGCTCTATCGTAGAGCTAACTGTTAATTTCAATTTAAAACCAATGAGAGTTCCTCGGTACTTTATTCGGTAGATTAAATACTGTTAGCATCAAATACATTTTTCGAAAAGAACGCAAAAAAGATGCTCTTTTCTATCGAAAAGTTCATTTCATTTGAAACCTTGCCCAAAAAAGAAATTATTTATTAATGTCTGCACAGTAATCAACAAAGAAGAATCGGATGGGTACAGGCGCATATGCCACATATGAACGAACAGTTAACAACTAAGGCTAATCGAACTAAAGATAAGTAAGTGGATGAATATATGTCTGATTGTTAATCCAACAATTCCTCGAGCGCAATAAAGCATGACAAAGCATTAACATTAGACGAAATCATTCACACCTTCCAACAGAAGATGAGTGATGTGCATTCTATGATTAAGTTCAACTGTCAAATACTTACGTTCGTCTAGAAACTTATAAAGTACAACTGTTTGGAATAAGCAAATCAGCTTTAAATTATTAATAACATGTACCCATTTGTTAATTATCAACATGATAAAAATCTCTAACCCATTTTTAATTTACACTGATATTTTTTTCTTCTACGTTCAAAGAATGTTCTATCTCTGATAATTCTCTAATTGTATATACTGCACAAGTTCACTATTTTTATTGTACTTGTCGTCTCTATATACGTATTCACTATTAAAAATACATAAAGTAATAGCTGGACAATTTTTTTTTTGTTCCTCTTTTCTCTCGCTTGTCAAATACTCAGACTAAGGTAGTCGAACGAAAAAGAAAAGAGAAAAATTGAAATTCGAAAAGCGGTTTACTCATAGTTTTATTTTACTCATGTTTTGTCTGCCAGTGGCCCTTTACTCACTTTTCTTCATATATCGATATAAAATTACCTTTTTTTTCCTTTTTCATTCGAGTCCGTATTGTAATCATGCCTACGTCCATGCTGAACGAAAGAGAAAGAGAAGAGAGCAAGTGACTAATGATGATAGGGAGTAGTAAGTAATTGTCATCTGAGAATATTTCTTAAATGTTACCAAATAAAAATGTTGTTTGAAGGAGAAAAAAACACATTGATATAATAATTACGAGGATGAAATGTGACCTGTACAATTCGCCTTCTCAAGTTAAGAATTATCTACAGTGAAATCAACCAAAGTCGCTAGTTAAGATAAAGTCATATTTGACTTGCTACGTGTCTAATTTTAGAATATAGAGTTTATATTCCCATTCGAAA